CTTTCTCCAAATTATTTCTAGAATGAAAGGTTTCCAAGTGCAAGCCAAGTTTGCTAGTATTGTAGCCATCTGCTGCATTTACTACTCCTCAAAATGAGATCCCAAACTTACATTCACTGGGGAAATACCAGTCTCCAGACCCATCTTAGAGATCCCCAACAGACGCCATGGAGCGAGGACACACCAGTAGCCTGCAGGAAGGCTACCTGCTTAACACGGCTTAACAGCCTCTTCTACCTGTTTGATCCTGGCCCTCCCAGCATCTGCTAACCACATTTCATCTGTTAGGTCGACGGAAAAGTCATGACGCATTTCTCTATGTTTTTCTATGTAAAAATAACGTCATGATTTTGCTTATGACCCAATATTTTGAGACGGTCATTTAAAAAAATCTAAATATATTTGAAATCAACAATACCTTGATCAATAATCATATCTTAAAATGATTATTGGCAGCATTTTTCTTTCTTTTTGTAAAGAGAGATTTTTGCTATAGGGCATGTGCACTCATTGGAGAGACAGAGACACTGAAAGTGAGAAATCACCGCCCCAGGGGGGATGGCCATGCTACAATCCCTTCTCCTTTCGGGAGTTTGGACAGGCATGCACAAGCATCCGGTGTGAGTTTTAAGCTGCCGGGTCTGGGACTCGAACTGCAGTCTACTATGTGGAAGTCCAGTGGCATCTCCATTACGTCATCTGCGGGTCCCTGTTTTTTTCTTAATGTTACATAAAGTGATAATGCGTCTCAGGGTCAGTGGTGTCTTAAATGTGATGACAGGAGGTGACAAGCCCATGTTGGGAAACACTGTCATAGGGGCTGTGGCAATGGAGTCAGCAGCCTGGGCCCTGTACTTCCTTTAAGAAGCTGTCTTCTCCAGGGCTGGCTTGTAGGGCCTCTTGGGAGCACAGACGTGTTGAGAACCGGAGGAGAAGGAGGAGGAGGAGGTGAAACCAAATCCCTGAACCCAACGGCCCCTCCTGCTGGGTCTGCCCTCTGCACTCAGTGCCCTGCCTCCTGCAAGTATCCGCTTCTACCCTGTGTGCCCTAGAGCTGCCAAAACAAAGTGCCACAACTGGATGGCTTTAAACAATAGAAATGCATTCTCACAGTTCTGGAAGGTTGAAGTCCACAATCAGGGTGTTACAGGCTGTGCCGCTTCTGAGACTCTGGGTGGAAACCTATTTCACCCCTTCCAGCTCATGGCGTCAGTCTTTGGTGTTCCATGGCTTGCAGCTGCATCTGTCTGGTCTCGGTGTTGCCATTGTGTGCCCTTCTCCTGGGTGTGCTTACGTAGATTCTCCTCTCAGGGTTCTGCCAGAGTGGATGAAGGCCCACGCTAATGTCCTCTGCAAAGACCCTGTTTCCAAACAAGTCAGCTGCACAAGTACCAAGGGCTAGGACTTTAACACATCTTTTTGGGGAACACAATGCAACCCATAACACCTCCTGTAGCCCCTTTCCCTTTGGCCCTTCCTAACATTTACGGGGCTCAATTCTTGTGCCCCAGAGCCCACTCTCCCACAACTATGCACAGACATTGATATTGATAACAAGGACTTGGATACAGGACCCTGTGAGGTTCCTCCAGCTTAGTCTCCCCCTGCCTCGGGCTCCTTTATCTTCTGAGAACTGGAGGTCCCCTGGAGTAATCAGAATTTGGGTCTCTATACTAGTAAATCCATGCTATTCCCTTTCTGAAATGTTAATCACCATTTTGACTGTGGTAATTATTCTGCGACAGAATTAGTGGTAATCCCAAAGCTCTGAAGGATGAATGGGAGCTCACCAGAGCTCACTGTGGTGGGGAAACACCTCTGGCCCTGGAGAGGGCTGTGGTTTCCAAGGCAGAGGGAGAAAACAGACCTTTCCGTTTTGCTGACCTTCATCCTGGTGGACTGGACTCAGAGTTTTGAAAATCTACTGACTTTTCAGAAACCTTTCTGAAAATATATCTGAGGCATACATTCTGATAGATATTAGTCCATTTTATTTTAATCCCCCCACGTTTTGTTTTTCTTTGTGAAGTTTTTGCCATAGGGTTTGTGTATTCACCAGAGAGACAGAGACAATGAGAGGAAAAGTGAAAAATCACTCCCCGGGGAGTGGCCTCACCACAGTCCCACCTTCTCCATTCTTTTTCTGGAATCTTGGGCATGCACGCATACTTGCCTCGTGTGATTTTTAAGCCATTGGGTTCAGGACTCGAACCACAGTCAGCCACGTGGGAGTCCAGCGCCTTAACCACTGTATTACCTGCTGGCCTAGCAGTGAACCCTTTTAAAACATGGTGGTCTGGCAAGCTAGAAGTCCTCTGCAAAGAGACCCAGTCTCTTCAGGATAGCTGTCCCATTCGCCCATCCGGCCTCTCTCAGAAGAATGCGTTGACTGTGTGCCTCTCTCCCATAAGCCCCTTTTCCCCTCCTTTTCTCCTTTATTGTGGCTATTGGCAGTACTGATTAGATGGTGAGTTTTCTTCTTTTTCTGACATTTATTTAATTAGTTTATTTTTGAAGAATTATTTTATTTTTAACTTTATTTTATGTATTTATTTTGATTTGACCAGAGAGGGACAGAAAGAGAGAGAGAGAACACAAACTGCCAGCTCTGGGACTCTAACCGGGATTGGTCATGTGGGAGTCCAATGCCCTCAGCCACCATGCCACCCGTTGGCCCCACTTTTTTTTTTAAAAGAGATTTTTGGTATAGGGTGCATGCGCTTGCTAGAAAGACAGAGACGGAGAGAGACAGAAAGTAAGAAACCACTCCCTGGGGGGATGGTCACACCTCAATCCCTTCTCCATTCTTCTCTTGAGATCTTGGGTGTGGACTCACACGTCCCCTGTGTGAGTTTTAAGCCACCGGATCTGAGACTCGACCCGTGATTGACTACATGGGAGTCCAGCGACGTAACCATTACGCCAACTGCTGGTCCCAGATAGTGAGTTTTCTAAGGGTAAATAGAGTGGGATATTTCTTTGTTTCTGATTCATGGTGCCTAGTATGGTCTTTACCCAAAAGAGAAGTTTTTACTCAAAGGAGAAGCAAAGAAATACTTGCTAGACATTTGGGTTTACCTTCCCCCCCCTCCTCCCCACATAGAGCA